GTCAGCTCAACTCATATCATTGTGAGAAAATTCTACTACCAGTCCTTCATCACCTTACACGAAATAGGGTAGATACATCTCATTTCGTTTAGTTATGCCTCAAAGCGATTCTACGATCTTGACAACGCGTCTACAACTCAAAGTACCAGGCCTGAAGGTAGAAGCAGAAATTCGCTCTTATCGGCTCTCCTTCGTTGGCCTCCTTTGAGCATCCTCTTTCACACATGCGATAATAATCATCCGGTGATCACATAAACCTCTACCTCAAATGGCAGTTGAATGAACGACTCTGCATTCGGCATCACTGCTTTATGCTTAATTCACCAAAAGATACATCTAAAATAGCGGTTCTCAGGATAAGGGAGAATTAGTTTGCTGAGAGAGAACACGTCAAAATCTGCCTCGAGGAGAGTTGCTCGGTTTCGAGGAGATAGATGTTCCTGTATTACCTTCATCTGACCTTGGCGTCATGGAAAATCGCAGCTCAGGACAATGGATTTTGGCAGCGAGTTAAGACTTGATAAAGAGGCAAGTGAAGTCCATATCTTGACAAGCTGTCTGCTGAAAGACATATCAGACGCATTTATATTAAAGTTTACAGGGAATTTAGCATATTCCTCACTCCAAACAGGTATTCTCGTTCAGACTCGAGTGGAATGCAGGTTCGACCTTAGCTTAATTGCTCTCATCAAGTCCTCAACGGTACTCGAACCCGGATTGCGGTAGTGCAGCTGAAAACCTTGACATGTTAACCATTACGCCGCATTGTCATGAGTGTCCTTGGGTTACAGGGAAGTTGTGGATTTCAAGGAAGATCAGGCTTTTTCCTATCACATTCTGCGTTGAGATAGTCGATGAAGCAAGGTTAACTTTGATGTAGCAATCAACAAGATTACATATTTTTAGCTAATAAATAGGTAACATCACTTTAAGCGAAATAAGGTGAACACCACTATTGATCTCATGGTAGATGCAAAACCCTACTTATAAGTGAGAAATAAGTAAACATTAAGAAATTTATAGAAAAGGGTCCATACCCGACCATACCAGAGGCCACAACATCTTGGTCTTCATATCTTCAATAAAGTAATTTAA